GGGGCAGGTCAGTGCAGCCAGCCTGATGGTCACGCAGGCTGCCTGCCGCTCTCTGGTTGTTTCTCCCCTCTTAAGCTTGCCCTAAATCCCACTGCAAGTGCGGATCCTTGTCTCTGGGTTAAGCTGTGTGCGCCGTGTAGTTTGCTAAAGCTACAGCCAAATGGCGCAGTTAGTAAGGACTCCTGGAAATCCCACCCAGCTCTTGGCAGCACCACTTGCAAGTTAAACAGGTTTTACACAACACTAAAGGAAATGATGACCAATACAGTTAAAATCGCTTTGGCAGGCAATACCAATACAAAGGTCAGTCATTTTTCAGGTTTGTTTGTTTGTTTTTTAAACATAATTCCATTAATACAACAAAGGGGATTTTTTGTAATATTCAAAAGGAAACAGCTTTGTTGTTTTAAGAAACATATTGCAAAACTTGTGCTTTCTAAAATACATTTTCTGCCATTATGGGACTTTTTGAGTGTGTCCTCAAGGCTTTGTATGCCAGAGTTGGAAAATTTTGATCTGAAGTAGTAATGAAGTTTCCAACTTCCTTTCTCTGTGTGGCTGAAGCACCCTGAGAACCGTCTTTTCCTAAGAAGAGAACAGAGCAAACCTCCCAGGAAGAAGCTGCTGGTTCCTCTTGCCTTCCATTGTGTTGCCTCCTCATGCAGCCATGCTGCTAGGACACACGTCTGAACCAGCGTCCTCAGGTTCCCGACCTGCACGGCTTCCCGCTGAAGGCAGGAGATGGTGGGGCTTCGAGGGTTGGGAATGTTGTGAGAAGGAGAGGTAAGATTCCCCATCTGGTCTTTCTCTTCTGTTGAGACAGGTTCAGCGTCTAGCTGCAGTGAAGTCAGGGTTAACTAAATTCAAGATTTTTAGGGAGACATTGTTCAAGTTCTAACGATGTAACTGGAAGGGCAGAAGAGAGAGATACCTGGCACGGTAAACAGCAGTTAACTTTTTGGGATCTAACATCCTCAGGGTGAAGCAAAACGAGTGATTCCTGCTCTCTGTAGCCCAGTGCTCCCCATTAGGGGCTTTCTTGAAAAGCTTTGCAGATCTGATGTTCATCTACCAGACACTTTCTCTGTGTTTAAGTTCCCTGTTCTTTTCAGATATACTGGATTTTGCCATATTACAACTCCTCCTTTCAGAATACCCCTAGAGATACCTGCAGTTAGGACATTTGGTTTCTAGCCAGACGATGCATCTCCCTTTCAATCCTTTTATCATTCCTTTCCTGGTATTTTGCAGTTTGTACAGAAGGTGCTCAGCACCAGATTCAGTGTTCAAGGCAGAAATCCCGGGGGCCTCGTACCTCTGGGTGGTACTCTGTCACGCAGGCTGTGATGCCTTTCCAGTTTACAAATGGAATCACTTTTTGCAAGATGCCTTCCTTTGTTAGGAAGGCACCTACTGACTTCAGCTTTCCTTTTTCTACTTTTCAAACTATGTTATGAGAAAAAGAACAGGTTTTGCTTCTCGGGTTTGCTCCACTTATTCGGCAATGTAGGCACAACCATAGCAGAGCTGCTTTCCTACAGGGTTTTTGTTTTGAGAACCTTTATTCCCCTCCCTGGAGAGGGCTATGTACTGGATAGAGAGGACACTAATGAATAGGGAAGGTGAGCTGATGCCAGTGGTTGGAAAGGCAGTAACCAGAACGCATGTGGTGTCTTCCTTGAAGCAAGGGACGGATTTCATAGAATCATAGAATAGTTTGGATTGGAAGGGACCTTTAAAGGTCACCTAGTCCAACCCCCCTGCCGTGGGCAGTGGGGGTACATTTCAGTGTTTCTGTGCTTGGATTACTTTTCCAGCTCAGAGTTTGGTTAAACCTACTCGTGGGCAGCACGTGAATGTCTTTCAAAGTGGCTTCATACTGGACAGCTACACCAAAATAAAAGTCTCCTTGGGGACAGACATGATAGCAAACCTGGCGTGGGCTGAGTTCACCTTTCGCTTGCACCCTGACTCTGCTGATGGCACCTTATTTTGCAAATGTACCTTTGAAACCCTCCCTCTTTGAGCCAAGAAACCATAAGGCCAAGGGGCTAAAGCAGCCACGTTGCAGCCTAGAGTTTGATCGTGGCTTCTCAGGTTCAAATAATGACTGTCGGAGCACAGTTTTTTCTCACCCAGCAGAGACCCCAACGCCCTGCGGTGCCCCAGTGCCGTGGGGGTGTGAAGCCTCTGTCTGGGGATCAGGCAACCTCCCACTGCAAGTCTCGCTGAGCTGAAATGACTCCGCTTAGTCTTTGCTGCTTAAGCTGAAAGTGCTTCTGATAGTTCAAGCTATCCTCTCTACTGTTAGTTACTAGGTGTATCTCTGTATGCACGGGAAGAAGTATTTAGTGCAGTAATTCTGACTCTCTCCAAAGCTGGAGATCAAACAGTCCATTTATTCTTGATACTGGAAGTCTCCTTACTCTCCTTCAAAGCCTGCCGTTCTTCCCTCCCTGGGTGAGGGCCCTACTCGTCTCACATCTCCAGCGAGAAGCCTCTCCAGTGCAGTTTCCACAGGGACAACTTCTTGGTCTGGCTGTTCTCTTTGGACCTGATAAGCCAGGCCAAGGTAGGTATCTAGCGTCTGGTCATCGATATCAGGATCGATCGCGCAGAAGGCGGTCTTCAGATCATCTGCGTTCACCTCTCTGTTCAAAAACAACTCAGTCACTGCTATGCTGTGGTATGTGAAAGGAATATTTATGTATTTGTCCCACAGTGAGAATCCATGCTGCTTGAATTGTAGAGCAGAGATGTCTTTGGATATAGTTATCTCTGCCTCTACTAGTATCCCTTTGTTTTTTTAAATATGCATGTAATAAAGACAGCTCAGTACTAAATTTCAAACTGAACAGAAGTTAGGAAATGTTAGACTTGTGATAACCTGGGAAGACCTTAAATTCACTCTGTTGTACGCTGTGACATCCTTTGTTACAAAACTACATTTTCCTTGCTAATTCAGTGCCCACGTTGGACAGTACTTAACTTCATGGGCATCTACCTATCTTCAGTGTTCTCCTCAGTGCTCGGCACCTGGCACCAGACTTCTTTCCTATGCAGTAACTGCCTCTTGTTTATCTTGTGTTGAGGTGGAATTATTTCTTTAAATCTGCAGTTGTCAGTTCTGTTCACTCTTCCCACTCCTCAGAACCAACATCTGAGGATGTACAGGATTTTACTACTGGTTTTGGAGAGCTGAGGAGTGTTGAGATATGAGACTTAAAGTGCTGAAGGGGATTATTGGTACAACCAATCTACCCTCCTCACTGCCTGCCATATCCAAGTCCTTTGGATATGTCCATATCCAGGATCTGACGCTGTGCAGTGTTCTGTAGAGCAGGACTCAGCCAGATTTTGGTATTTACTGCAATATTCACAGCCAGGGCCCTCTGATAACGCAGGAGGCCCTGCACTGGCCACGCGCTCCTGAGGCCACAGCGGGGTTCCATCTGCACGCACTGTCCTGATCTGCTGTCCCCATTGGCCCCTTCCCTCCATACTTACGTTAAAGCTCCCAGCTTGTTCTTCAGCTGTCTCAGGTACTCCTGCTTCTCCCTGACATACTGGTTCCTGAGCTTTGCAACGAAAGGTCCAGCGTTCCCCTCCTCATCCTGAAAGAAATTACAGGTGCATTAGCACTGAGCATGTGTTCCAGTCCGGATAGGAGCTGCCCCCAATGTGTATTAAAATAACTCAGCTCTCCTAGAAATGGAATTTCCACGTGAAAAGTGGAATTAAAGAGAGAGAATATGGAAGAAAAACTACCACAGAAAAGGCACAAACTTGCGTTGCTGTTGTCTACAGATGGCCTTCGGGTGTTAGAGCTTGTGGTGGGCACTGCAACTTTGTTACTCTGATAAACCTAGTTAGTCTGATAAAAATAATTTAAGCCCTAAATTAGGCTCAATCTGCATCAAAAGGAAAACTTAAGTAACAACAGCTTACTTCTTTGAATAAGGATATGTAGTCGATGAGGTCTTCAGTGCTGTCCAGCTTGTACCTGCTTGCATCCACTAGTTCTTGGATTGACTCTTTCCTTTTCAGGGGAAAAGCTTCCCTCACAGCCGTGCTGTATGGAGACAGGCAATATGGGCAGAAGTGCGTATGCTGTTACAGTACGAGCACTTAACAACTGCCAGCGTGGCTGGCTGTTTTTTAGGCTACCAGTGTGTGCATGTATTCCATGGGCCCGATCTTGAAAAATTCATTGCTTTCACAGGAAACACATTTCAAGAAGCATATGCACCTTCAGACACCAAAACAAGGGCAAAGCTTTCAGCAGAGCTTAGGACTCAGGTAAGCGTTGGATGCTAAGCCATGTAGGAAACTCTGAATGCAACCGTGAGTATGAGTGGGTTAGCTGGTGGCCCACACCAAATTGGTTAGCGTGTCTGTACCAGAGCCGCATTCCCCGCTAAGTGCTGGAAATGGCTGGTGCTTCTCTTCTGTGCTACAGCCCAAAGAAATGCTGTATTTAGTTTCACTTACAAAGGCACAGCTGATTGATTAACTGGGAGAAGATTGACCAACCTTGCACCTGTAGCAAAATTCACAGAAATGCTTTGTGACCTATCATAGGAGATTGTGGGAGCTCGTGTGGGGTCCTGTGTCCCCTCAGGGGGCGTGGCAGGGTGCCGGGGCTGCCAGCCTGTCCCACTGCATCTGTGAAGCACCCCCTGTCTGCTCTCAGGCCTCTTCAGTTGCGTACTCAAAACTTGCGGTATTCACGTTATTCTAAACCTAATGCAGAGGTTAACAAGTATAGACTTGCTAGAGCTGTCCGCAGAGGAATTTAAAAGAGAGAAAAAACCTCCTCCCCTGGCTGCGCTGGCTGATAAGCAGACAGACTCAGCGTATCACAACATCTGACGTGTGCCAGACGTGGGCAGAGCTCGGTGAGCAACAGTTGGCCTCTTGCCTGAACTGCTTGCTCGTCAGGGATCCGCTGTTTGAGCTGTCGCAGGCAGCCAACTCCTCTTGCAGGTTGGAAATCAGCTGATTCTGGCCGTGGTACTGTTCTTCACCTACCTGTGAAACAGGGAAGGTTCACAGGTCAGTAACCGCCCCATCTGTTCCTTGGACTACCTTCAAGAGGGAAGCAAAACTGCAAAAGGACTGTGCTCGCTTCTAAAGCAACTTTTACCTGAGCGGCTTTTAGCAATTTACAAATAATTAAGCAAGCAACACAGAGGCTTGCAAGGGTGGCTGTTCACAGTGGCTTCTTGTTGAACAATTTGCTTAAACTGTTAAACCCTCAGGTGCAGATGCACACCCTGGATCCCGCCCTGCCCGGACGGTGGCACTTGCTCCCAGCCACTTTCCCATTTCCAAGCAAGACAAGGGGCAAGTATAAGAGGACCTGGGGGGGGCTACGTGTCTTTGTGTTACAGGAGATGGAAAGGTGTGGCCGTGTAGCTAGAGCTCTCCAGCTCTGACACGGTGCTGGGGAGCGGGGAGCAAGGCTGCCAGGGCCTTCACGGTGCTGCAGTTCAGAGATTGCGTCCTGATCTTCACAAACACTGCACAGGGACAGACCGTGAGCTGTTTCAGGAAAGACTTACTGAGAGAAAGAGGCTGTAGGTAAGTAAGTCTTGCAAACAGACTTGCCTCTCATCGGAGAGAGCAGATACGATGTGACTGAAGTGTTCGAAAGAAATGGGGTCTTCTAGAAGCTCTGTTGGGAGCAGTAAGAGCCTGCCATGTCTTGCATGGACAGGATTCCATTCTCTAGTGTGTGTCAGTGTTTACTTTTATTGTCAAAGGTGCAGCTTCCCCGGGGGAAGAATGGGAGGTGAAGCTGCTTTGCAGAGGAACGCTTCCCTTGCCTGCTGCCTGTCACAGCAGGGATGTCTGGGCAGAGGTGCGGCACTGGGTTGCGGGTTGCCTACCTTCCCTGTGAGTATGTCATAGAATGAGCTCAGGACGTGGTTCGATCGACAGAGTCGCATGTTCTCGTAGAGGGTGTAAGACCATTCCATGGCAGCGGCATCTCCGTACTTCTTCTGGAGGTAGTTGAGAAAGAACTCGGGAAGACTGGATCGCTTCCCTGTCTGTGGATAACAAGTGAGTAACTCCCATAAGCAGCAGAACTAAATAAAATCTGCCCATTTGATTCTAGGCTGTTTGTGTATAGATGTCTATCTTTTGGGGATCTCACACAGTGCAAACACAGTGCTGGTGCTGGCTGGAGTCTTCAAAATGTTTCTCCCAGGTTTGTTCTCTAAATGTGGGTAAGTTTACAATGAAGCTCTTCTGTTGCTGAGACCACAGATAAAGTCTCTCTTGTCCTACCTATTTTTGTGAAATATGTAGGAACTTGCTACCTGTGAGGTGCTACCCCTGTCAGATTTAGCTGAGCTTGGCTCATGGGTTGAGAAATGGAAGCAGTTACTGGAGAAAAGTAGAGTCAGACAGTGATTGCAGCAACCCTATTTCCCCAGGAAACCAAGCTGAAAGTAAAAGACAGCTGCCATAAAAAACATTAAGCCATTTAGGGCTGATCTCAGAGATGTTTCCAGGCTTCTAGCTCAAGAGAAGAAATCTGTAAAGTGACTCTGCCTCTCTCAAGGTCGCTCTCATATGACTAAGGCACAGTAACAGGGCTTGTCCAGTATCTGGGGAGATGGTATCATACTCGTCCCCAACATGGGAAGAATTAAACAGCCACTTTCCTTCTCTTTTTGAGTCTTGTATTGCCCCAGACAGGCAACCCATAACATCTGTCTCAGCAGAGAACACGCACCTCACCCCTTTGGCCTCCAGTTGTCATCCCCAACCCACCCTGGACAAAGAAGAGAAAATTCTTTGGGTTTTGTGTAACAAAACCAAAGCATTTTTATATAAATCCATTTATCAATATAAATTATTGTTTGTCCCTGCTCCTCGTTTTTCCTGCAGTGCCACCTGTTCCTCTCTCACAGGGGCACAAACACGGATTGACGTGGATTAAAATCAACCCAGCAAAAAACTCTGTCCTTGCTTTGGCTGCACGGATGTTGCTCAGGTTTCCACCACCTAAGAACAGACACTGCATAGTCATGATGGCATGTCGGTCTACAGAGCACCATCACACCCCAGAAGAGCAGCGGTTTAGTCTAGCTAAGGTCTCAGACTCACAAGCATGGCTGATTTAGCTCAGGGGTGATTGCTGCAGTGGTTCCTCCCCTGGGCACCCTGCCTTGTGGAGGAATCTTCAGGGTCAGCTCAGCTGCTCTTGCTGTTCTTGCTCTTGGACCACTGCAGTTTACAGCCCTCGGCATCAAAGCAACCAGTGCTGACTTCTGATTTCCTCCAAATTTGCAGTGGTGGCTGGGCATCAGCTGCTTCATGAGCACTCAGCTGTCCCGGGAGCAGGAGCTGCAGAAGAAGCCTCTTAGGCCTGGAATGGAGCTACTCCAGCTATCCATGCGACACTGTCCTAATTCATGAATCAGGTCCCTGGGGAACCCTGCCAGGCACGGGGTTACTGCCAGCTGAGGTGGTTTGTTCTTACAATGTTTTATGCAGCTCGATTAGGATGAAACACTAGGCAGGACATCGGTGAGACCCTGGCTTTCCAAACTGGACTGACTGTCATAGCAAATGCTGTTTGTGGAGAAGGAAAATGGGACAAACCTGCTGTTCTAGTGCAATTTTCTCCTTCCAGACATCCTTTAGGATGTTCACCACATCCCTCTTAGTCAGCTTTTTGTTCTTGACTTCACCTTCATGCCGCAGATATGCAGGCACCTTGTCACCTTTGCCCTAAGTAATGGAAAAGAAACACAGATATAGGTAAGTCATTCGCCTCACTGGCAGTGATGCAGCATCAAAGCCATGTTCTCAGCATCTAAAGCCATTAAAATGAGTCATTTGTGTGGGTCTCATCCCAGTACTATAAAACACATCTGTCAGCACCTCTGCAGCGTGTCTCAAGTGCTCCAGGGTGGAAAAACTGGGACTGCGTGAGAGGTTCTGCCCAGCAAAAATAGAAGAGGAAAGTATCTTCCAGGAATGACAGGGCAAACAGTTCAAGCTTCTGGAAAGGCTGAGGAAGAGATGTTGAAGGACCAAAGAAATGCTACTCTGTCCCTGAGAAAACCTTTGGATAAAATTATGTTTGGTATGATGTGAAGAATCCTTGTAACATTTCCTTGTCCCTGTCTCATTTCCTGATTCCCCCTCGTGCTGGGGTGCAGTGCAATGGGACACTGAGTTTAATTAACTTCCTGATGCCACAAAAAGTAGTCATTGCTTCTTACTCTTAGTCATTCTAGTGCTTTGTCTGTGTTCATCTCATCAGCAGAGAACTAACCTGGGAGAAAACAAATACTGCTCTGCTGGATACTTCCCTGTTGCTGCAGCCAGTACCAGGGGGCAGGGACAGGGGAGAAGGACAAGGGTTTTCAGCAGCAGGAAGCTGTTAATTTGTCTCAGCCATATAGTGGAGCATTAATAAGGGGCTCCGGCCCACTAGTACTACCTGCGTGTCTGATGATTCATTGTAAAGCGTGGCTACTTCAGCTGTGTCTTCAATATGCTCACACTTAGTTTCAGCTTTTCTATTGCACCCGAGTTTTCCTAGCTTTAAAGTTTTTGATGGTTACACTGATGGGAAGGGGAATGTTGAAGACACCAGCCACGAAAGCAATTCTCCCAGCTTTCTAATGGATATTTATTGCCAGTTAATCTCAGTGAAAACAAGCAGAGAAGAAAGCTTACACATACCCGTCCAGGGAAGCCATTTATCTCTTTTAGCACTCCTGTTCCTATTTCTTCCACAAGCACATCCACTAGCTGATCACTGGTCTTCCCCTCAGCCAGACAGCCCCACCGGTCAGCTCCACCAGCAATCACCTCTGCAACAGCAAAAAGACGCTGAGCTGCTAGAAGAGGAGAATGCACCCATGCATACCAGTTTTGAGTGAATCCACTGGGAGCCTTATGATAGACACGGATCTCTAGACATCCAGTTTGTCTCCTAAGATGTCTAAGGCAAAACGGAACACCCTGCAAGCTCCTCTCTCTCAGCCCACTGCCTAAAAGCCTAGGATAAAATGGGGTGTTGCAGGTAAGAAATGCACCATAGCGAAGTGTTTAAAGATGAGCTGCCTTAAGCAAACCACTGTTGAATACATTTGGCACCTGAACACTTCGCCCAGTTTGGCCGGGGTGTGCAGTTGTGCTGAACTCGCTGGAGTTCAGCGCAGAAGTTGTCTCGCTCTTCTGCAGTCTCTCTGTGGATTTCCAGCAGTGTTTCGTATTCCTTATGGAGCTGATCAAAATCCTTCTGCAGAGTCTTCATCTAAAGGATACAGAAAGGAGGATTGTAACAAACCAACCAGAGTAACAGAAATTTTCTGTTGTTGTCAGACAGCTCCGGTGAGCAGCCAGTGTAGCCCATAGACTTA